ACTCAGCAAATTAATAACTGAATTATGCTGCAGATAAAATATGGAAAGAAATGTATTTCTTTCAGGCAAGGCATCTATGTATCCTTAATGGTACTCCTGCCACCAGAATACATTAAACTAGTGTCACTTGGTGAAACTGCAGCAATAAGTAAGAAAACCTCTTGTGTAAAACCTGCCGTTTCAGTGATTTTCCAGAAGATAGTTTTCACAACCAGAAATGATTTGTGCTCTGGCAGTAGTCCAGTCCTATACAGGTCTGTTTTGGCCAGAATACCATCTTTGAAAAACCGCAAAGAACAACTTGTTGAATTAACATCTACAAACTAGCCAAATTAGTATGATCTGGAGAAGAAACATTGTTCTTGAAATGGTTTATACAAAAGAGTAGAAATCCTAAAACCTCACATCAGTTTCAACTAATTCATGGCTTAACATGTTTCATTTTCACTTTTGTTTTACTATCAAATGTATTTGTTAAGTACTGACCACTCTTAAACTGATTGGGGGAAATGTATTTGTCATCTTCAGTCACATCCAAGGTAAGTATGTTAAGGGAAATTAACAAATCTAAGGAATAGGCTACGCCTTCAATATCTTGCATTTTGGAAGATCTGCTTTGTAAAACAAACTGCTCAATGGCAAATGGAGCAGAACTGCCATCAGCTTCCCCTCCCCCCTTTCATGGACATCTTAAATTGATGGGGGTGGGACTGATCAATGACATAGCAATAAGGCTTTGCTGTGTGAATATTTTGGATAAATTTTGCAGAAAAATATGCCTGTAATCCTATATTGCTTCCTCTTAGTATCCTCTTTCTTGTGCTAAATTGTAGCATAGATTGCACAAGTACAAATAGTCTTGTAACTGTGCCTCTGACTTTTTGAAAGTCTAAAAAAAATGTCAAAACCAGATTTGCTAAATGCTACATGTTAACAATTTGCTATTCTTGTGCTTTTATTCACAGTATTGTACCTAACAAGTTTTAATCTCGGCATATGATAGGCTAGAATAACTAAAGGAAAATTATGGGTTTCATTTGGCTTGGATTCAAATTGTATTGGTTATATGAAGATCCAATTCTGTGGATGTGTAAATAAAGCATGCCAGTTTTAAAAATGTCATTTATTTGTAGTTTATATCCTTTCTGTTTAAACAATGCCAGATGTTGCATAGATTGCAGTTCATTTCATTTACGTTCAGTATTATGACTTGAAACAATTTAAATTTACTTGAAGTTTTGATCCCAAGTAAACCTGGGGATAGACTAATAAAGGTATTTGTAGCATGGGAGATAAAAGCAACAGTGGGCCTGCTGATTCCTCCATACCCTCCAAACGGGAGGGTATAGTAAGGGTTGGGAATCAAGGAGAAAACAAAGCATCAAAAATGTATTCTTATAAACCCAAATGAATTTGGTTTCTTTCATTGGATACAAAGTATATAAATTAGTAGAAATGATTTTTTAAAGTTTTCTAAAATTATTTCATTGAATTTTAGAAATTTGGGACTACAATTAAAAAGATGATTATTTAGATACCCTGTACAGGTAGTCCTCAACGTATGGCCACAATTGAGCCCAAAATGTATGTTGTCAAGTGAGAAATTTGTTAAGTGAGTTTTGTCCCATTTTACGACTTTTCTTCCCACATTTATTAAGTGAATCACTGCAGTTGTTAAATTACTAACACAGTTGTTAAGTGAATCTGGTTTCCCTATTGAGTTTGTTTGTCAAAAGGTCTTAAAATGGGATCACATGACTCTGGGACACAGCAACCATCATAAATATGAGTCAGTTGTCGAGCATCCAAATGTAAATCATGTGACCGTGGGGATGCTACAACAGACATAACGATGAAAAATGGTTGCTTTTTCCAGTGCCGTAACTTCGAACAGTAACTCAATGAAATGTTGTAAATTGAGAACTACCTGTATAAGATCCTTTCCTTCTCAGTTATGTTAGAAGAAATTTCTAGGACATATCAAAGATTAATATTTCAATAACCATATTTTGTTACAGACACCAATAAGTCAAAAGGAATTGTAAGTTTGTTAAAACTAGTTTAAATTTTAAAATTCATAGATTAAAGAAGGATTGAAATGAAAGGTCCATATTTATTAAGGGATAATTACATAAATTATTAGTTCATTGTTGTTTAAACCTGTCCTCCAATTCAGGATGTGGTATGATTTCTTACAAAATAATTAACAATATAATAAAAATTTGAGATTGAGAATTTGATACTAGGAAAGGATTTAAAGAAATACAAGCACCTCTTAGGGAAAAGCAGATATAAACTACATAAGAATATACCTTCAATATGGTCATATTGTTGCAAACTCCAGGACTATGCATGATAGATTATGAAGCATCACCCCATCAAATAGATTTATATATAATTCAAATAAATATAACTCTTATTCAGATAAGATTATGTATGGATATCAAAATCATGAATAAACCTAATACATTAAGCAGCAAACAGCACCTATTTGCCTATCTGACCACAGTCCAGTGACTTTAGAACTAAAACTAGAAAGCTCTGATTTACACATTTCTAGTTATTTGATCAGGTATTTACTACCCAATCAGCAAAAAAATAATGTCCACAGTTTTCTTTTCAAAGACAATAGAGTCAAATATCTCCCTTGATAAAATGGGAAGCAATGAAAGCAGTAATGAAATGTATTAATCATATTAGCAGAATATAAATTTAAAAATACTTAAAAATGAATTACATTTAGGAATTACAGTAATTATTAGCAAAATAAAATCGGTTCTTCAAAGTCTAGATAAAGAGAGAAAAAGAATTAGCAAAGTAAAAATGTATTCAGCTTCTACTTTTAGCAACTAAATTAGCTACAAAACAAATCTAGATAATATGATATGATCTGGTCTGTAGCTTCATTTGAGAAAGTCTGATTAAACCATTGTATGACAAGGCAAAGTAATGAACAATTGTTCTGCAAGGAATTGTGGGATTTCATTGCTTTATAACGAAGAAGCATTTCATTATTTTAAAAGGATCTTGAAAAAAATCTCTAAAGCCTTTAAAAGGTTTCAATTTGAATGCAGAATCTTTGTAAATTTACAGATTATCACTCAATTATAATTACAGGAAAGTAATAAATTATTTTCAAATCTTTGCCGAAAATGCTTCCATCAATCCTCCATTTGCTTCTGATATAACATCCACTTGTTATTGGGGTCTTATTCTTTCTTACCTACTTTTTTCTTGGACATATTGTGGTTCAGTTGCTTTTCCAAGGAATATATCCCATTGATACACAAATTGATTACAAATTGATAATCCCATTGATTTTGCACAAAGATTGGGTTTTCCAAGGTTTCTAGATCCTTGGAGAATTTTTTTTCTCATTAAAATACTGGTTGTTTCTGTTGTATAATTTAAAAATTCATAAAATGAAACAGACATAAGAGGAATGTTTTAGAATTAGAATATTCTTTATTGGCCAAGTGTGATTGGACACAAGGAATTTGTCTCCGGTGCATAAGCTCTCTACACATACAAGCAACAAAGTGACAAATCATAAGGTACAATAATAAATCATAAAATACAACCAACAAAATGATAGACAAGATACCAATAGGAGTAGGTAATAGGACAGATGAGAAGGATAATAGTAATACCGTCCTACATGGTTGTGTTTACATCAAGTGTTTAGCAGAATGATGGCATGGGTGAAAAACTGTTTTGTTTTGTTATGCAATGCTCTATAGTGGCGTCCTGAGGGGAGCAGTTGAAACAGTTTTATGTCCAGAGTATGAGGGGTTTGTAGATATTTTCCCAGCTCTCTTTCTGGCTCATGCAGTATACAGGTCAGTGGAAGGCAGACTGGTTGCAATCGGTTTTTCTCCAGTCTGTACCTGTTTGATTATTATACCAATCAGGCAGTTATAGAAGTACAAATGACAAACTCAGTTCCTCTGTAGAACAGTATCAGCAACTCCTTGGGCTGTCTGAGTTGGCGCCGGAAGAACATTCTTTGTTATGGTTTTTCATGACGGTTCTAATGTTAGGTATCCATTTCAAGTCCTGAGAGATTATAGAACCCAGAAACTTGAAGGTCTCTACTGCTGACATTGTGTTGGTGATAGAATAGGAGGGCTCCTATTAAAATCTACTATCATGTAGAGTTTTAAACGTGTTCGGTTCTAGATTGTTCTGGCTGAATCAGAGAGACAGTTCTTTAACTAGTCAACATTATACAGCAGATAATAGTTTCTCAATCATTAGCCTAAATCATCATTAATGAAATGCTGTTTTAAAGCACTAGAGAAAATGTGTCAAATTACATATAACTTTTTCTCACTAGGTGGCATTACTGCTATGTTTATTAAAAATGCCCTTTAAAAACAAAATTGCAGCCAGAAATAGATGTGTGAGAATTACACACAATATTTAAAACTTGCAACTCAATGTGATAGCATGAAGTCTGAGCACTGCAAAATACACATTTCCTGGTAATCGGCACTTTCAGTCACCAGAGACAACAGCCAGACGGCCTCTAGGGGAAAAGTTCAAAGAACTGTTGCTATCTGGCCTCAGCAGAAGCCTGGGTTTTGCAAAGGGGCTCTCACTGGAAAGCCAACCACCTCAATTCACAGGGACCTAAAAGGACTTAACAGGGCTCAGTTCAAACCATGGAAACTATATTACTATTCTTACAGAAGCCCGGTGCAGTGCAATACCTCATAACACTCCCACACCTCAGAAACCATGTTTCATAATCCCCTCACAGATTTTAACACACGCACACACCTCACACCATATTCCATTACCTAAAGCTAAGGGAGTACTAGACTACTAGTCCTACCCAGTATAAATACTAATAATGCTACATTATATGGAAAGGTGGTTAAACCTGTCCCCAAGGTGCTTTTTCAAGAGGCAACTGGGCTTTCTGGTTTTCTTCTTTGAACACGTTTCGCTTCAGAGTCCAGTTGCCTCTTGAAAAAGCACCTTGAGGACAACCCTGAACGGGATGACTTGAGAATCTCCATAGACGGTGTTAAAGCTCATCGCCATCCCACGATTTCGGGCACTTAAAGGGACCATTCTGCTTCATCTTTTACACCGCTCCCTTGAGCCATGGACTGCAATCCGCCCCTTCGATTAATCCCATGGGATCATTCGCCGTTGAGGAAGAAGGGGAAAACGGGGGGCCAAGCGTCTTGCGAGCCTGTGCACCCAGGGAGGAAAAAAAAACTCCGCGAACCGTATCCAAAACCCAACCAGGGGATTGGAGGGAAAAGCGAAGACGGGAAAAGGAAAGACGCCTGGGCTGTAGAAAAACACCACGCCCAGGGAGAGTCCTAGGCACTTTTTGAGCACTCGTGCTTGTGTTGCCGGTTGCCTTTTCTAGTTGAAACCGGAGCGGCGGCCAGACAAGAGACGCCAAAGTGGGAGCGTTTAGTTTTCTCTCCGAGCGAGCGAAGGAAAGAGAGAGAGACACCTGATGAATGAAAGCTCCGCCCCCGCGCTTTTAAGAGAGCGGCGGGTTATCTTCCTCGACCACTTGAAGCCCCGAGGGCGGCTCACTAAAGGCGGGAACGCCGCGATGGAAGGAGATCGACTCGCGCTCCGCTCCCTCTCGCCGCCCGGGCTTCTCCTCTCGTCCTTCGCGCGGGCAACATGACTTTCCTCGGGCTTTATGGGGGCCGGCTCAACTCCACGCCGTTCGCCATGGCCCCCCTCGACGCCGCTGGGAGCCTGGAGAAAGGCAACGGCAACGGGACCTTCGCGGAGCAATGCGCCTCCGTCTCGGTGGCTTTCCCTTTGACCATGATGATCACGGGCATGGTGGGCAACGGTCTGGCCATGCTGCTAGCCTACCGAGCTTACCAGAAGAAGGAGAACCAGCGGAAGAGGCCGTTCTTGCTGTGCATTGGTTCTCTGGCCCTGACGGACCTCACCGGGCAGCTGCTGACCAGCCCCGTGGTCATCACAGTGTACTTGGCCAATCGGAAATGGCGGGCGGTGGACCCTTCCCAGGGCCTGTGTGCCTTTTTTGGCTTGGCCATGACCATTTTTGGCCTTTGCCCTCTCTTCATCGCAAGTGCCATGGCTGTGGAAAGGGCCCTGGCCATCCAGGCCCCCCACTGGTACACCGGCCACATGAAGACCAGGTTGACCAAGATGGTGCTACTTTGCGTGTGGCTGACTAGTTTTGCCTTTGCTCTCTTGCCCATGATGGGCATTGGGAAGTATACACTTCAGTGGCCGGGCACTTGGTGCTTCATCAGTATGAAGGATCATGAAAATGCCAGGGTGGGCAATGCTTTTTTTGCTTCTACGTTTGCTTTCTTGGGTCTCTTTTTCCTCGCTGTTACTTTGGCATGCAACATGGCAACCATAATTGCATTGGTGTGTCGCTGCTGGTCCAAGAGCTCAACATCCCGATCAAGGAAGCAGTGGGGCAGGATTACCATGGAAACCTTTATCCAGTTGCTGGGAATCATGTGTGTCCTCCTTGCTTGTTGGTCCCCACTTTTGGTAGGTTTCTTCGGTGTGTCCAGTTGCTACAGAGTGGTCTGTTGGCACAAAGCCAGGCTATAAATTGTTGTAGTAAATCTAATTTGCGGGAAGCATCCAGTTAGAGAAAACTGGCAATAGTGCCAGTAACTTATTACAACATATGTGGCAAAAAATTTTTACAATGCTCTGATATGTCTTTATGTTTAAAAATGTGAGAGAAAAGAGATGGCATCTTAACAAAATTTTAAATTCATTATTAATTAGTGTGCTATACAACTTTGTTCAGAGTAATTTTTCTGTTTATATAATCCCTGTCCTGTCTTTAGCTTTATTAAAATTCTGTCCAAACATCTTTAGAGATGAACCATACACACATTTATGATTGTCTTTAGCTAAATATGATTATAACTGAAAGTGGTTGTAGATATATTTAATTTCATTTTAACCATCATAGCAGTCCCCATTTTGTTGTTTTCTTCCCGGTCTTATTGAGATTTGTGCTCGGTATTGTAGATCTTTGAAATGATATAAAATGCTTTACCGAAGGTGAAAATGAGGCAGTTGTATATTCTATAACTTCAATGGGTTCCTTCAACAACAAAAAAATGGGAAAGTACTTGAAAACAGGTCAGACTATTGATCTCCTAACTGTGATATTCCAGTCTCGGGGAAGACCTCTAATAAGTTAAAACTATGATTTGATCTGGAATTTATTCTTTGCAAAGCATGTGCTTTGCTACCAAATCGAGTTTACTTCATCTGTATAGGAATGAACCAATTGCATTGCATTATGATGGTGCTTTATTTAACTGTAGTTAAAGAAGATGAAGAAGATAGAGCACCAGACTTGGATATACATGTATGCTTTTTAAGCCACACAAAGCTTTTACTGAATAACTGTTCTATAAGGTATGTATTCAGAGAATGAAAAGGCCCAACTGATCAGCACTGAATACCTGGTTGACTTATAACCCTTTGTGTTAAATTAACAGAAGTTAAGAGAAAAGGATGTGAACACTAGATAGCATCTCAGCCATTGGAGCTGTAGGCTAGATATAATCATGGTATGACCTACATATCAAAATTCAGCTCATGATAACTCTTATACTGGGGGATGTTGAAAGATTTAAAACACTTCTCAGATGAGTAGGGAAGGATATTGAATAGCTTTTAGTTTATAAATTATTTTGTTAACTAAGTTGTTACAATCATTGAGGCCATCCATCTTAAAATCGGGCTCTAGGTAACTCACAACCAAAGAATAAAACAATATGTGCAGCCATAAAAACAGAAAACAATAGAAACAAAAATCTGGTGCTACAATCGAGCTTGTCCAATGCAATCCATAACCCTCTTCTACTCCAACCTTCTCCTATCCCGACATATGAGGGGAAAGCCAACCCTTAAGTGTTTTCTGGAAGCTTAAAAGTGGGGAGGGGGCTGTCGGATCTCAAGGGAAGGGTGTTCCATAGGCCAGGGGCTGCAATGGAAAAGCATGCTGCCTAGGAATGGCAAAATGGCAATATTTAAGGGAAGGGACATGCAGTGTGCTTATCCTATCCAATCTGGTGGGATGGGCAGATGATGATCGCACACTCTCTGTCACTAAATGATTTTATTCAATAGTTGATTTCACCCAGCAGGTGAGAAACCACATTGCAGAGGCCTAGGATTGACCTTTACCCTCACTAACACTGAGTGGAACTTGCGTCCAAGGAAAAAAGTGGAGAACTACCCCAAATAGTTCCTCCCTTTTCCCACCCCAAAACAGTTTGAAAGCATATTATGGTTGATAATATTGAGATTTAGGAAACCTAAATCCCCGCTGAGATTTAGGAGACCCAGGATGATTGAACCTGTTGTAAGCCCTCCAAAGATCATGTACAAGCACAATCATGGCCATCTGGGTACCACTCCAACCTGAACCCAAATTGAAAAGGGTTCAAATAATCTACTTCATCCAAGATCCCCTGAAGCTGAGGCCCAAACACCTTCTTCCTCAGAAAGGGCATGTTGGAGACTGTACAAGGGCAGTTAACAAGTTTGGGTCCAAGGATGGCCTCTCTAGAAGGCATCCTTTCCTTTGGCACATTAACAACTGTTCAGTCCAAGCCATATGCTTTAATATATTTTAAGAGATTGTTACCTTAATCCAGAGATTAAGATCCAGAAAAAATTATTTATGACCGGTTTCCACATTTATGACTATTGCAGCATCCCTATGGTCATGTGATCAAAATTTGGTTGTTTGGCAACTGGCATATATTTATGACAGTTACACTGTCCCAGGATCATGTAATCACCATTTGTAACCTTCCCACAAGCAAAGTCAACGGGAGGAGCTAGATTTACTTAACAACCATGTGAAATGGTCACTTAACCACTGATTCGCTTAATAACTGTGGCAAAAAATTCACAAAATAGGGCAAAACTTACTTAACTGCCTTTCTTAGCAACAGAAATTTTGGGCTCGGTTGTGAACATGCTTGCAGAGAGTCTTTTGGAATTGGCTAACTATATTTAATATAGTAAGATTCTATGAGACAAGAATAGAAATAATTTAATCTATATGTCAAAACAATGATAAAGTTTGCAACTTTTAAAATTTCATGATAAATAAGAAAATAAATTTAAAACAGTGTTTTTAATTAAAAGGGTTAAAATAAGGATTAAGAGCCCTGGGAACACAGTGGTTAGAATGCAGTATTGCAAGCCAACTCTACTCACTGCCAAGAGTTCAATTCTCACCCGCACAAGGTTGACTCAGCCTTCCATCCTTCCGAGTTCAGTAAAATGAGGAACCAGATTGTTGGGGGCAATATGCTGACTCTAAACCGCTTAGAGAGGGATGTAAAGCACTGTGAAGCAGCATATAAGCTAAGTGCTATTGCTATAATAGATGAAATCTGAATGGTGGGCAGAAATCAGGATGGATAAAAATCAATGATTTTTTTATTTTTATCAAATTTATTTTAATAAAATGCTTATTAATGTAAGATACATTAATAATTTAGTTTATTCAGCATGAAATGGAGCCTGGTTATGTAGCATGAGGCTATATATGCTGCAATATTGGGACTGTTGGTGAGTCAAAAGTGGGACAGAGATGACAGTTGCTCTTTAAAAATTATGATTTAAATCGAGTTAATTTAAATCAAGCCTTTTTACTAGTGATTTAAAGTGATTTGATTTAAATCAAATCCACCCTGGCAGAAATGCTGAACTTTGTTTCCAAAAGTACTCCAAATATTGCAGGTACAGTAGAATCTCTGGTCACAAACGCTTCTGACCACGACTAAATTGGGTTCCGACCAAAATATTCACTTTTTTTTGTAAGCGCCAAATTTCCAAAATTAGATTCGGGTCATGACCAAATCGAGTTGCGACCAAAGTTATGGGATGAATTATGATCATGACCAGAAGTTCTACTATATATGAAAGACCACAGTAGGTAACCTTCAAGCAATCTTCCCAAACATTAGCTTTGGACGCTGATCAAAACTCATTACAAGCTTTGCTGAGACAAGCTGAATGTTGCCATCTCCAGGAACAGTAGAGGCAAGTTCTAACAGTGATTTTGCTCACAAGCACCCCACCCCAAGTTTGTAACCCTTCTCCAATCTGCTTTCAACCTCCTAAGGGTCACAAACCATGACCAAAGCAAAGAACCTTGTTCTATGCAATCTATTGTGGTATTTCACCTGTTTTAGTTTTCTACTGCTGATGAGAGTTGTGCATTTTAATCTGCAGTTTTTGCTCTTAACTCCTGGGGAGCTATTTACAGGAAAGTTTATTCATTTAATAAATAAATACATGAAACAGCTTAGCTTCAATTTCCCAATTGTGTTACTTTTGATCTTGAAGGCTCACTCACAAGTAGCAGAGAAAAAGTTTTTAATGAGGCTTAGTGAGTGAATTAGTCTGCAGTCCATTGTGGCAGATTTTCACTGGTTCCCAATCCCATCACTCTTTCATAGAAATCACGGGATAATTTAATCATAGAGCTAGTTAGTTTGACTATACTTCAGTTATGGATTAGTTTGGACTAAAAATAAATGATCATTTTTTAAATCTGAATATCTCTCTGTTTATATTATTCAGCAAACATAATCTGTATTAAACTAAACATTTTGCCTTTTCTCCAAGCCTAGCAGCCCTTTGCAAAGAAAAAACTAAATTTACACACATTATTTCAAAATAGTTTCTGCTACCAGTGACAGCAAAAAAATAATTGCTTGGGATATTTGTACAAACAAGTACAACAAAATGTCATTTGTGGCATTTTATTTCCATTTATGACTATTATAGTACCTTGTATTCATTTTGATATATGAATTAGCTTTCTAATCTTGACCAGCCTCCAAGTTGTTCAGGGAAGCAGCTCTTTTCCTCAGTACAATGATGGAAGAACAAATTCCAGAGACATCTGTATAATCAAATGCTTTCATTAAAATAAATAAAAGCAATATCACAGCCTAAGCACTACCCCTTTGTATTTTTATATGACATCATCATATAAAAGGGACAGATTTTGCACTATATTGACAGAACACTGCCTTCTTCATTTGACACACACGTACCCCAGCAGACACTGCAGATTGTAAAATTGTAGTTTTCCAAGGCACCCACCTTCCCAAATTAAAATGAATATGGGTTGTAGACTTAAGAGTAGACAGGCTATTTGAACTTGCTCTATTTAATTTTTTTTCTGAAATGTGCCATTCTGAGGCAAAGTACAGCTCTTGGCACAGAAAAAAGAAAATTGCACACCTAATGATTTGCGGGAGCATTCAAAAACTAATGCCTACTAACCTATCTATATGACTGATAATTCCTTTTTAGTCTAAATATTTTAATGTTAGTTATAGGTCTGAGTTCTTGTGTAACAGTAGCAATAACAATAGCAGTAATAATACTATAATCAGCAGCAGCAGTAGCGGTACTAGATTAATAGAATATTCTTTTATTGAAAATGTGTGATACGACACACAAGGAATTTGTCTCCGGTGCATAAGGTC